GGGCAGTGGCTTCCTCAGGGGCAATCCAGGGGCCCTCCCAACCCAGTTAAAGCCACCTCCAGGGCACCAGGGGACTGGCGTCTCAGAACTCTCGTGAACCGGCGTCGCTTACCCAGGGCACCTAAGATGCGGTGGCATCCACAGTGGCCTTGCGGGCAGTGATATCACCCAGGGCCCTGCCATGCTGCCACTGCCCCTCAGAGACTCTCTGAGGTGCAGTGCTTTCAGCAAGATGCAGGGACAACGGGTGCCACCAAGAAGCCCTGCCAGGGACAGTGACCACCACCCGGGCCTCCCAAGGCAGTGGCACGCCGCCAGTGGCCCTACCAGGGCGCCCCTCTCAAGGAGTCCTTAAAGCAGTTTGGTCGTGTTGTCGCCACCTTGTTACTTGTCAAGCAATTTCACCCACTTCTTCCTGATTTGGTGAGGACTAAATGTAAATCCGCAATCTGTAATGTCAGGAGAACAGAGCAGTCAGTCAGCACAACACCCCAACTTATGTTTTGCTGTTGGATATTTATTCTCCTTTATATTGTTCATGGTGCTAATATACTGGAAATGCGATAGGCGGTGTGTTTATTTAACGTCATATCTCCTCTCATTGTTCTAAATAGTGCAAGAAAAAACTCCCCCACGGGTCTTACAGGGACAGTGTCTCCTGGGTTCCTGCTATTTGCCCTACCGGGTTAAACGCCCCCAGGAGCCCTGCCAGGGGAGTCGGCGCTCTCAGGGGCCCACTCAGGGGTGTCGGGGCCAGCAAGTGGGGGGGGGGGAAGGTGAAACTTCCAGGAGCCCTCCCAAGGGTGGTGGAGGGGGCTGCCCAGGGGCAGTTGCGCCTTAGGTACCCTCCAAGGAACAGCAGTGTCCCAGGGGCCCTACCAAGGACATTGGATTCCGCAGGGCCCTCTTAAAGCGGTGGCGCCCCCCAAAACCCTCGTAGGGGCAGTGGCGTCCACAGGGGCAATCCAGGGGCCCTCCCAAGAGTAGTCATGCCTCGAGGGGCCCTCCAAGGGGGGATGGCGTCTCTAGGGACTCTCTCGTGGACAGCGTCGCCCCCAGGGTACCTCCCAGATGCGGTGGCATCCACAGTGGTCTTGCCAAGGGCAGTGACATCACCAAGGGCCCTGTCAGAGACGGTGCTGCCCCCAGAGGCCTTCTGAGGTGCAGTGGCGGCAACAGGGACCCTCACAGGGACAACGGTACCACCAGAATCCCTGCCAGGGGCAATGGCTCCCCCAGGGGCCCTCCTAGGGGCGGTTTTGTCACCAGTGGCCCTACCAGAGGCGCCCCCTCCCAGGAGTCTTATAGCTTGTTTGGTCGTGGTGTCGTACATATTGCATATGTCCGGCAATTCCTTACTTAACTATGATTGGTGGACTTAAATGGAATTCCACCAAAAACAGCCAATAGGAGAACAGAGCAGTCAGTCAGCACAACACCCCAACTTATGTTTTGCTGTTGGATATTTATTCTCCTTTACATTGTTCATGGTGCTAATATACTGGAAATGCGATGGGCAGTGTATTTATTTAACGTTATATCTCCTCCCATTGTTCTAATAGTGTAAAAAAAACTGCCCCCACGGGTCTTACAGGGACAGTGTCTTCTGGGGCCCTGCTATTTGCCCTACCAGGTTAAACGCCCCCAGGAGCCCTGCCAGGGGTGTCCGCGCTCCCAGGGGCCCACTCAGGGGTGTCGGGGCCAGCAGGGGGTGGGGGTGAAACTTCTAAGAGCCCTGTCAAGGGCGGTGGAGGGGACCGCCCAGGGGCAGTTGCACCCTAGGTACCCTCCAAGGGACAGTAGTGTCCCAGGGGCCCTACCAGGGACATTGGGTTCCCCAGGGGCCCTCTCAGGGGCGTTGGCGCCCCCCAAAACCCTCCTAGGGGCAGTGGCTTTCTCAGGGGCAATCCAGGGGCCCTCCCAACAGTAGTCATTCCTCCAGAGGCCCTCCCAGGGGGGATGGCGTCTCTAGAGACTCTCTCGTGGACAGCGTCGCCCCAGGGCACCTCACAGATGCGGTGGCATCCACAGTGGCCTTGCCAGGGGCAGTGACATCACCAAGGGCCCTGCCAGGGGCGCTGCTGCCCTCAGAGACTCTCTGAGGTGCAGTGGCGCCAACAGGGACCCTCACAGGGACAACGGTGCCACCAGAAGCCCTGCCAGGGGCAGTGGCTCCACCAGGGCCCTCCCAGGGGCGGTGGCGCCGCCAGTGGCCCTACCAGAGGCGCCCCCTCTCAGGAGTCTTAAAGCTTGGTTGGTCGTGTTGTCATACATATTGCATATGTCCAGCAATTCCTTACTTAACTATGATTGGTGGACTAAAATGTAAATCCACCAAATAACAGCCAATAGGAGAACAGAGCAGTCAGTCAGCACAACACCCCAACTTATGTTTTGCTGTTGGATATTTATTCTCCTTTACATTGTTATTGGTGCTAATATACTGGAAATGCGATGGGCAGTGTATTTATTTTTTTATCGTCATACTCCAATTGTTGTAAATAGTGCAGAAACAACTACCCCCAGGGACAGTGCCCCCTGGGGCCCTGCCATATGCCTTACCAGGTGTAGTGCCCCAGGGGCCCTCCCAGATGCATCGGGGCTTCCACGGACCCTCCCAGGGGTGTCGGGGACCACAGCAGCCCTCCCAGTGACGGCGGAACTTCCAAGGGCCCTCTCAAGGATGGTGGCGCCCCCAATGGCCTGCCCAGGGGCATTGGCACCCTAGGTACCCTGCCTATGACAGAAGTACCTCCAAAGGCCCTGACAGGGGTGGTGACGCCTTAAGGGGACCTCCAAGAGCCAGTGGTATCCCCAGGGGCCCTGCCATGGGCGGTGGCGCGTCCAGAGGGCCTCCCAGTGACTGCAGTGTCCCCAGCGGAGCTTCCAGGGGCTTTGGTGCCCCCAGGAAAGCTCTCAGGGGTGGTGGCTCCTCCAGGGGCCCTCTCAGGTACAGTGGTGCCAACAGGGGCCCTGACAGGGACAGCGGCACCATCAGGGTTCCTACCAAGGACAGTGGCGGCCCATGGGGCTCTCCCAGCGGCGGTGGCGTCCCCAGTGGCCCTACAAATGGCGCCCCCTCCCAGGAGCTCAATAGCTTGCTTGGTCGTGGTGTCGTACATATTGCATATGTCCGGCAGTTCCTTACTTAACTATGATTGGTGAACTTAAATGGAAATCCACCAAATAACAGCCAATAGGAGAACAGAGCAGTCAGTCAGCACAACACCCCAACTTATGTTTTGCTGTTGGATATTTATTCTCCTTTACATTGTTCATGGTGCTAATATACTGGAAATGCGATGGGCGGTGTGTTTATTTAACGTCATATCGCCTCCCATTGTTCTAAATAGTGCAAAAAAAAACTGCCCCCACGGGTCTTACAGGGACAGTGTCTCCTGGGTTCCTGCTATTTGCCCTACCGGGTTAAACGCCCCCAGGAGCCCTGCCAGGGGAGTCGGCGCTCTCAGGGGCCCACTCAGGGGTGTCGGGGCCCAAGTGGGGGGGGCACTTCCAGGAGCCCTCCCAAGGTGGTGTGCCCAGGGGCAGTTGGGGTACCCTCCCAGCAGTGTCCCAGGGGCCCTACCAGGGGGGGGGCCCTCTTAAAGCGGTGGCGCCCCCCAAAACCCTCGTAGGGGCAGTGGCGTCCACAGGGGCAATCCAGGGGCCCTCCCAAGAGTAGTCATGATCCAGGGGCCCTCCCAGGGGGGATGGCGTCTCTAGGGACACTCTCGTGGACAGCGTCGCCCCTAGGGCACCTCCTAGATGCGGTGGCATCCACAGTGGTTTTGCCAGGGGCAGTGACATCAACAAGGGCCCTGTCAGAGACGGTGCTGCCCCCAGAGGCCTTCTGAGATGCAGCGGCGCCAACAGGGACCCTCACAGGGACAATGGTGCCACCAGAATCCCTGCCAGGGGCAATGGCTCCCCCAGGGGCCCTCCCAGGGGCGGTTTTGTCACCAGTGGCCCTACCAGAGGCGCCCCCTCCCAGGAGTCTTATAGCTTGCTTGGTCGTGGTGTCGTACATATTGCATATATCCAGCAATTCATTACTTAACTATGATTGGTGGACTAAAATGTAAATCCACCAAATAACAGCCAATAGGAGAACAGAGCAGTCAGTCAGCACAACACCCCAACTTATGTTTTGCTGTTGGATGTTTGTTCTCCTTTACATTGTTCTTGGTGCTAATATACTGGAAAGGCGATGGGCAGTGTATTTATTTAACGTCATATCTCCCATTGTTCTAAATAGTGTAGAAACAACTACCCCCAGGGGCCCTATAGGGACAGTGCCCCCTGGGGCCCTGCCATATGCCTTACCAGGTGCAGTGCCCCAGGGGCCCTCCCAGATGCATCGTGGCTTCCACCCACCCTCCAAGGGGTGTCGGGGACTCCAGCAGCCCTCCCAGTGACGGCGGAACTTCCAGGGGCCCTCCCAAGGAGAGTGGCGGCCCATGGGGCTCTCCCAGCGGCGGTGGCGTCCCCAGTGGCCCTACAAATGGCGCCCCCTCCCAGGAGCTCAATAGCTTGTTTGGTCGTGGTATCGTACATATTGCATATGTCCAGCAGTTCCTTACTTAACTATGATTGGTGGACTTAAATGGAATTCCACCAAATAACAGCCAATAGGAGAACAGAGCAGTCAGTCAGCACAACACCCCAACTTATGTTTTGCTGTTGGATATTTATTCTCCTTTACATTGTTCATGGTGCTAATATACTGGAAATGCGATGGGCAGTGTATTTATTTAACGTTATATCTCCTCCCATTGTTCTAATAGTGTAAAAAAAACTGCCCCCATGGGTCTTACAGGGACAGTGTCTTCTGGGGCCCTGCTATTTGCCCTACCAGGTTAAACGCCCCCAGGAGCCCTGCCAGGGGTGTCCCCGCTCCCAGGGGCCCACTCAGGGGTGTCGGGGCCAGCAGGGGGTGGGGGTGAAACTTCTAGGAGCCCTGTCAAGGGCGGTGGAGGGGACCGCCCAGGAACAGTTGCACCCTAGGTACCCTCCAAGGGACAGCAGTGTCCCAGGGGCCCTACCAGGGACATTGGGTTCCCCAGGGGCCCTCTCAGGGGCGTTGGCGCCCCCCAAAACCCTCCTAGGGGCAGTGGCTTCCTCAGGGGCAATCCAGGGGCCCTCCCAACAGTAGTCATGCCTCCAGAGGCCCTCCCAGGGGGGATGGCGTCTCTAGAGACTCTCTCGTGGACAGCGTCGCCCCCAGGGCACCTCACAGATGCGGTTGCATCCACAGTGGCCTTGCCAGGGGCAGTGATATCACCAAGGGCCCTGCCAGGGGCGCTGCTGCCCTCAGAGACTCTCTGAGGTGCAGTGGCGCCAACAGGGACCCTCGCAGGGACAACGGTGCCACCAGAAGCCCTGCCAGGGGCAGTGGCTCCACCACGGGCCCTCCCAGGGGCGGTGGCGCCGCCAGTGGCCCTACCAGAGGCGCCCCCTCTCAGGAGTCTTAAAGCTTGGTTGGTCGTGTTGTCATACATATTGCATATGTCCAGCAATTCCTTACTTAACTATGATTGGTGGACTAAAATGTAAATCCACCAAATAACAGCCAATAGGAGAACAGAGCAGTCAGTCAGCACAACACCCCAACTTATGTTTTGCTGTTGGATATTTATTCTCCTTTACATTGTTATTGGTGCTAATATACTGGAAATGCGATGGGCAGTGTATTTATTTTTTTATCGTCATACTCCAATTGTTGTAAATAGTGCAGAAACAACTACCCCCAGGGACAGTGCCCCCTGGGGCCCTGCCATATGCCTTACCAGGTGTAGTGCCCCAGGGGCCCTCCCAGATGCATCGGGGCTTCCACGGACCCTCCCAGGGGTGTCGGGGACCGCAGCAGCCCTCCCAGTGACGGCGGAACTTCCAAGGGCCCCCTCAAGGATGGTGGCGCCCCCAATGGCCTGCCCAGGGGCATTGGCACCCTAGGTACCCTGCCTATGACAGAAGTACCTCCAAAGGCCCTGACAGGGGTGGTGACGCCTTAAGGGGACCTCCAAGAGCCAGTGGTATCCCCAGGGGCCCTGCCATGGGCGGTGGCGCGTCCAGAGGGCCTCCCAGTGACTGCAGTGTCCCCAGCGGAGCTTCCAGGGGCTTTGGTGCCCCCAGGAAAGCTCTCAGGGGTGGTGGCTCCTCCAGGGGCCCTCTCAGGTACAGTGGTGCCAACAGGGGCCCTGACAGGGGCAGCGGCGCCATCAGGGTCCCTACCAAGGACAGTGGCGGCCCATGGGGCTCTCCCATCGGCGGTGGCGTCCCCAGTGGCCCGACAAATGGCGCCCCCTCCCAGGAGCTCAATAGCTTGCTTGGTCGTGGTGTCGTACATATTGCATATGTCCAGCAGTTCCTTACTTAACTATGATTGGTGGACTAAAATGTAAATCCACCAAATAACAGCCAATAGGAGAACAGAGCAGTCAGTCAGCACAACACCCCAACTTATGTTTTGCTGTTGGATATTTATTCTCCTTTACATTGTTCATGGTGCTAATATACTGGAAATGCGATGGGCAGTGTATTTATTTAACGTTATATCTCCTCTCATTGTTCTAATAGTGTAAAAAAAACTGCCCCCACGGGTCTTACAGGGACAGTGTCTTCTGGGGCCCTGCTATTTGCCCTACCAGGTTAAACGCCCCCAGGAGCCCTGCCAGGGGTGTCCGCGCTCCCAGGGGCCCACTCAGGGGTGTCGGGGCCAGCAGGGGGTGGGGGTGAAACTTCTAGGAGCCCTGTCAAGGGCGGTGGAGGGGACCGCCCAGGGACAGTTGCACCCTAGGTACCCTCCAAGGGACAGCAGTGTCCCAGGGGCCCTACCAGGGACATTGGGTTCCCCAGGGGCCCTCTCAGGGGCGTTGGCGCCCCCCAAAACCCTCCTAGGGGCAGTGGCTTCCTCAGGGGCAATCCAGGGGCCCTCCCAACAGTTGTCATGCCTCCAGAGGCCCTCCCAGGGGGGATGGCGTCTCTAGAGACTCTCTCGTGGACAGCGTCGCCCCCAGGGCACCTCACAGATGCGGTGGCATCCACAGTGGCCTTGCCAGGGGCAGTGATATCACCAAGGGCCCTGCCAGGGGCGCTGCTGCCCTCAGAGACTCTCTGAGGTGCAGTGGCGCCAACAGGGACCCTCGCAGGGACAACGGTGCCACCAGAAGCCCTGCCAGGGACAGTGGCTCCACCACGGGCCCTCCCAGGGGCGGTGGCGCCGCCAGTGGCCCTACCAGAGGCGCCCCCTCTCAGGAGTCTTAAAGCTTGGTTGGTCGTGTTGTCATACATATTGCATATGTCCAGCAATTCCTTACTTAACTATGATTGGTGGACTAAAATGTAAATCCACCAAATATCAGCCAATAGGAGAACAGAGCAGTCAGTCAGCACAACACCCCAACTTATGTTTTGCTGTTGGATATTTATTCTCCTTTACATTGTTCATGGTGCTAATATACTGGAAATGCGATGGGCGGTGTGTTTATTTAACGTCATATCGCCTCCCATTGTTCTAAATAGTGCAAAAAAAAACTGCCCCCACGGGTCTTACAGGGACAGTGTCTCCTGGGTTCCTGCTATTTGCCCTACCGGGTTAAACGCCCCCAGGAGCCCTGCCAGGGGAGTCGGCGCTCTCAGGGGCCCACTCAGGGGTGTCGGGGCCAGCAAGTGGGGGGGGGCGGGGGGGGAAGTTGAAACTTCCAGGAGCCCTCCCAAGGGTGGTGGAGGGGGCTGCCCAGGGGCAGTTGCGCCTTAGGTACCCTCCAAGGAACAGCAGTGTCCCAGGGGCCCTACCAGGGACATTGGATTCCCCAGGGGCCCTCTTAAAGCGGTGGCGCCCCCCAAAACCCTCGTAGGGGCAGTGGCGTCCACAGGGGCAATCCAGGGGCCCTCCCAAGAGTAGTCATGATCCAGGGGCCCTCCCAGGGGGGATGGCGTCTCTAGGGACACTCTCGTGGACAGCGTCGCCCCTAGGGCACCTCCTAGATGCGGTGGCATCCACAGTGGTTTTGCCAGGGGCAGTGACATCAACAAGGGCCCTGTCAGAGACGGTGCTGCCCCCAGAGGCCTTCTGAGATGCAGTGGCGCCAACAGGGACCCTCACAGGGACAATGGTGCCACCAGAAGCCCTGCCAGGGACAGTGGCTCCACCACGGGCCCTCCCAGGGGCGGTGGCGCCGCCAGTGGCCCTACCAGAGGCGCCCCCTCTCAGGAGTCTTAAAGCTTGGTTGGTCGTGGTGTCGTACATATTGCATATGTCCAGCAATTCCTTACTTAACTATGATTGGTGGACTAAAATGTAAATCCACCAAATAACAGCCAATAGGAGAACAGAGCAGTCAGTCAGCACAACACCCCAACTTATGTTTTGCTGTTGGATATTTATTCTCCTTTACATTGTTATTGGTGCTAATATACTGGAAATGCGATGGGCAGTGTATTTATTTTTTCATCGTCATACTCCAATTGTTCTAAATAGTGCAGAAACAACTACCCCCAGGGACAGTGCCCCCTGGGGCCCTGCCATATGCCTTACCAGGTGTAGTGCCCCAGGGGCCCTCCCAGATGCATCGGGGCTTCCACGGACCCTCCCAGGGGTGTCGGGGACCGCAGCAGCCCTCCCAGTGACGGCGGAACTTCCAAGGGCCCTCTCAAGGATGGTGGCGCCCCCAATGGCCTTCCCAGGGGCATTGGCACCCTAGGTACCCTGCCTATGACAGAAGTACCTCCAAAGGCCCTGACAGGGGTGGTGACGCCTTAAGGGGACCTCCAAGAGCCAGTGGTATCCCCATGGGCCCTGCCATGGGCGGTGGAGCGTCCAGAGGGCCTCCCAGTGACTGCAGTGTCCCCAGCGGAGCTTCCAGGGGCTTTGGTGCCCCCAGGAAAGCTCTCAGGGGTGGTGGCTCCTCCAGGGGCCCTCTCAGGTACAGTGGTGCCAACAGGGGCCCTGACAGGGGCAGCGGCGCCATCAGGGTCCCTACCAACGACAGTGGCGGCCCACGGGGCTCTCCCATCGGCGGTGGCGTCCCCAGTGGCCCGACAAATGGCGCCCCCTCCCAGGAGCTCAATAGCTTGCTTGGTCGTGGTGTCGTACATATTGCATATGTCCGGCAATTCCTTACTTAACTATGATTGGTGGACTTAAATAGAAATCCACCAAATAACAGCCAATAGGAGAACAGAGCAGTCAGTCAGCACAACACCCCAACTTATGTTTTGCTGTTGGATATTTATTCTCCTTTACATTGTTCATGGTGCTAATATACTGGAAATGCGATGGGCGGTGTGTTTATTTAACGTCATATCGCCTCCCATTGTTCTAAATAGTGCAAAAAAAAACTGCCCCCACGGGTCTTACAGGGACAGTGTCTCCTGGGTTCCTGCTATTTGCCCTACCGGGTTAAACGCCCCCAGGAGCCCTGCCAGGGGAGTCGGCGCTCTCAGGGGCCCACTCAGGGGTGTCGGGGCCAGCAAGTGGGGGGGGCGGGGGGGAAGGTGAAACTTCCAGGAGCCCTCCCAAGGGTGGTGGAGGGGGCTGCCTAGGGGCAGTTGCGCCTTAGGTACCCTCCAAGGAACAGCAGTGTCCCAGGGGCCCTACCAGGGACATTGGATTCCCCAGGGGCCCTCTTAAAGCGGTGGCGCCCCCCATAACCCTCGTAGGGGCAGTGACGTCCACAGTGGCAATCCAGGGGCCCTCCCAAGAGTAGTCATGCCTCCAGGGGCCCTCCCAGGGGGGATGGCGTCTCTAGGGACTCTCTCGTGGACAGCGTCGCCCCCAGGGCACCTCCCAGATGCGGTGGCATCCACAGTGGTCTTGCCAGGGGCAGTGACATCACCAAGGGCCCTGTCAGAGACGGTGCTGCCCCCAGAGGCCTTCTGAGGTGCAGTGGCGCCAACAGGGACCCTCACAGGAACAACGGTGCCACCAGAATCCCTGCCAGGGGCAATGGCTCACCCAGGGGCCCTCCTAGGGGCGGTTTTGTCACCAGTGGCCCTACCAGAGGCGCCCCCTCCCAGGAGTCTTATAGCTTGCTTGGTCGTGGTGTCGTACATATTGCATATATCCAGCAATTCCTTACTTAACTATGATTGGTGGACTAAAATATAAATCCACCAAATAACAGCCAATAGGAGAACAGAGCAGTCAGTCAGCACAACACCCCAACTTATGTTTTGCTGTTGGATATTTGTTCTCCTTTACATTGTTCTTGGTGCTAATATACTGGAAATGCGATGGGCAGTGTATTTATTTAACGTCATATCTCCCATTGTTCTAAATAGTGTAGAAACAACTACCCCCAGGGGCCCTATAGGGACAGTGCCCCCTGGGGCCCTGCCATATGCCTTACCAGGTGCAGTGCCCCAGGGGCCCTCCCAGATGCATCGTGGCTTCCACGGACCCTCCAAGGGGTGTCGGGGACTCCAGCAGCCCTCCCAGTGACGGCGGAACTTCCAGGGGCCCTCCCAAGGATGGTGGCGCCCCCAATGGCCTGCCCAAGGGCATTGGCACCCTAGGTACCCTGCCTATGACAGAGGTGCCTCCAAGGGCCCTGACAGGGGCGGTGGCGCCTCCAGGGGACCTCCAAGAGCCAGTGGTATCTCCAGGGGTCCTGCCATGGGCGGTGATGCGTCCACAGGGCCTCCCAGTGACTGCAGTGTTCCCAGGGGAGCTTCCAGGGGCTTTGGTGCCCCCAGGAAAGCTCTCAGGGGTGGTGGCTCTCTCAGGAGCCCTCTCAGGTACAGTGGTGCCAACAGGGGCCCTGACAGGGACAGCGGCACCATCAGGGGCCCTACCAAGGACAGTGGCGGCCCATGGGGCTCTCCCAGCGGCGGTGGCGTCCCCAGTGGCCCTACAAATGGCGCCCCCTCCCAGGAGCTCAATAGCTTGTTTGGTCGTGGTGTCGTACATATTGCATATGTCCAGCAGTTCCTTACTTAACTATGATTGGTGGACTTAAATGGAATTCCACCAAATAACAGCCAATAGGAGAACAGAGCAGTCAGTCAGCACAACACCCCAACTTATGTTTTGCTGTTGGATATTTATTCTCCTTTACATTGTTCATGGTGCTAATATACTGGAAATGCGATGGGCAGTGTATTTATTTAACGTCATATCTCCTCCCATTGTTCTAATAGTGTAAAAAAAACTGCCCCCACGGGTCTTACAGGGACAGTGTCTTCTGGGGCCCTGCTATTTGCCCTACCAGGTTAAACGCCCCCAGGAGCCCTGCCAGGGGTGTCCGCGCTCCCAGGGGCCCACTCAGGGGTGTCGGGGCCAGCAGGGGGTGGGGGTGAAACTTCTAGGGGCCCTCTGAAGGGCGGTGGAGGGGGCCGCCCAGGCGCAGTTGCACCCTAGGTACCCTCCAAGGGAGAGCAGTGTCCCAGGGGCCCTCTCAGGGGCGTTGGCGCCCCCCAAAACCCTCCTAGGGGCAGTGGCTTCCTCAGGGGCAATCCAGGGGCCCTCCCAACAGTTGTCATGCCTCCAGAGGCCCTCCCAGGGGGGATGGCGTCTCTAGAGACTCTCTCGTGGACAGCGTCGCCCCCAGGGCACCTCACGGATGCGGTGGCATCCACAGTGGCCTTGCCAGGGGCAGTGACATCACCAAGGGCCCTGCCAGGGGCGCTGCTGCCCTCAGAGACTCTCTGAGGTGCAGTGGCGCCAACAGGGACCCTCACAGGGACAACGGTGCCACCAGAAGCCCTGCCAGGGGCAGTGGCTCCACCAGGGGCCCTCCCAGGGGCGGTGGCGCCGCCAGTGGCCCTACCAGAGGCGCCCCCTCTCAGGAGTCTTAAAGCTTGGTTGGTCGTGTTGTCATACATATTGCATATGTCCAGCAATTCCTTACTTAACTATGATTGGTGGACTAAAATGTAAATCCACCAAATAACAGCCAATAGGAGAACAGAGCAGTCAGTCAGCACAACACCCCAACTTATATTTTGCTGTTGGATATTTATTCTCCTTTACATTGTTATTGGTGCTAATATACTGGAAATGCGATGGGCAGTGTATTTATTTAACGTCATATCTCCTCCCATTGTTCTAATAGTGTAAAAAAAATTGCCCCCACGGGTCTTACAGGGACAGTGTCTTCTGGGGCCCTGCTATTTGCCCTACCAGGTTAAACGCCCCCAGGAGCCCTGCCAGGGGTGTCCGCGCTCGCAGGGGCCCACTCAGGGGTGTCGGGGCCAGCAGGGGGTGGGGGGGTGAAACTTCTAGGAGCCCTCTCAAGGGCGGTGGAGGGGGCCGCCCAGGGGCAGTTGCACCCTAGGTACCCTCTAAGGGACAGCAGTGTCTCAGGGGCCCTATCAGGGGCATTGGGTTCCCCAGGGGCCCTCTTAGGGGCGGTGGCGCCCCCTAAAACACTCGTAGGGGCAGTGGCGTCCACAGGGGCAATCCACGGGCCCTCCCAAGAGTAGTCGTGCCTCCAGGGTCCCTCCCAGGGTGGATGACGCCTCTAGAGACTCTCTCGTGGACAGCGTCGCCCCCAGGGCACCTCCCAGATGCGGTGGCATCCACAGTGGCCTTGCCAGGGGCAGTGACATCACCAAGGGCCGTGCCAGGGGCAGTGCTGCCCTCAGAGGCCCTCTGAGGTGCAGTGGCGCCAACAGGGACCCTGACAGGGGCAATGGCACCCCCAGGGGCCCTCCCAGGGGCGGTGGAAGACGCCCGTGGCCCTACCAGAGGCGCCCCCTCCCAGGAATCTTATAGCTTGCTTGGTCGTGGTGTCGTACATATTTCATATGTCCAGCAATTCCTTACTTAACGATGATTTGTGGACTTAAATGTAAATCCACCAAATAACAGCTAATAGGAGAACAGAGCAGTCAGTCAACACAACACCCCAACTTATGTTTTGCTGTTGGATATTTATTCTCCTTTACATTGTTATTGGTGCTAATATACTGGAAATCCAATGAGCAGTGTATTTATTTAACGTCATATCTCCCATGTTCTAAATATGGGACAGTTCCCCCTTTGGCTCTGCCATTTGCCCTATCAGGTGTGGCGCCTCCAGGGGCTCTGAGGGGCCCTCCCAGAGGCGGTGGAGTTTCCAGGGGCCCTCCTAATGACCGCGGCGCCCCCAGGGGCCAGCCCTGGGCAGTGGCACCCTAAGGACCCTCCCAGGGACAGCGGCAACCCCCAGGAGCCCTTCCAGGAGCAGTGAAGCCCTCAGGTGCCCTCTCAGAGGCGGTGGCGCTTCCAGTGGCCCTCTCAGGGGCGGAGGCGCCCTCAAAAGCTCACCCAATGGCAGTGTCACGCCTTTATGTATTCTCCAGTGGATAGCATCGCCCCCATGGGTCCTCCCAGAGACGATGGCGTCCCCAGGGGCCTTTCCAGGGGCGGTGGCGCCCTCATGGTCCCTCTCAGGGATAGGAGCGCCTCCTAGGGACCTTCCAGGGGTGTTGGTGCCCCCAGGGGCCCTGCCAGGGTGGATGGAGTCCGCAGGTGCCCTCTCAAGGGCGGTCACGCCTCCAGGGGCTTTCCCAAAGGTTGCAGCGCACCCAGTGGCCCTCCCAGGAGACGTGGCACCCTAGGGGCCCTCTGAGGGGTGGTGGTGCCCCCGCGGGATCTCCCAATCGCGGTGGCCCCTCAGGGGCCCTCCTAGGGGTGGTATCGTCTCTATGGACCCTCTCGGACATAGCAGCGCCCCCAAGGGACCTCCCAGAGGCGGTGGCGTCCCCAGGGACCCTGCCAGGGGCGGTGGCGCCCCCATGGCCCCTTCCAGGGACACCGGCGCCCCTAAGGGACCTTCTAGGGGCGTTGTTGCCTCCAGGGGCTCTGCCAGGGTCGATGGTGCCCTTGGGCCCTCTGAGGGGCGGTGGCGCCCCCATAGGCGCGCTGGTGCCAACAGGGGTATTGCCGGGGTACAGCTGCACCACCAAGGGCCCTGCCAGGGGCAGTGATGACCCCCGGGGCATTGCCAGTGGCGACGGCGCCCCCACCCATTAACCTTATAGCTTGCTTGGTCGTGGTGTCGTACATATTGCATATGTCCCGCAATTCATTACTTAACTGTGACTGGTGGACTAAAATGTAAATCCACCAAATAACAGCCAATAGGAGTACAGAGCAGTCAGTCAGCACAACACCCCAACTTATGTTTTCCTGTTGGATATTTATTCTCCTTTACATTGTTCATGGTGCTAATATACTGGAAATGCGATGGGTAGTGTATTTATTTAACGTCATATCTCCTCCCTTTGTTCTAAAGTGCAAAAAAAAAACTGCCCCCACGGGTCTTACAATGACAGTGCCTCCTGGGGCTCTGCCATTTGCCCTACCAGGTGTGGTGCCCCCAGGAGCCATCCCAGGGGCCTTCCCAAGGCTCTCGAGGCCCCAGGGGCCCTCCGAAGAGCAGTGGAACTTTCCGCGGCCCTTCCAAGTGCAGCAGCGAACCCAGGGGACCTCCCATAGGTGGTAGCGCCTCTAGGGGCTTTTCCGGGGAAGGCGGCGCCTTCAGGGGACCTGCCAGGGGCCGTGGCGCTCCCAGAGGCCCTCCGAGGTACAGCGCTGCTCCCAGTGGACCTTCCATGGGCGCTGGCACCCTCCAGAGGCCCTCTCAAGGGTGGTTGCGTCAACAGAGGCCCTGCTAGGGGCGTTGGCGACCCCAGGGGCCCCTGCCAGGGAGCGAGGCGCCCCGAGGCTTCCTACATGGGAGAGCGGTGCCTTTAGGACCCCCCCAGGGGTGGTAGCATCTCCAGGGTCCTCCCAGGGGCCCTACTAGGTACATTTGACCCCCAGGGGACCTGCCAGAGACAGCGGCGCCCCCAGTGCCCTCCCATGGATGGTGGGGCCTCGAGGAGCCCTGCCAGGCGCAGTGGTGCCAAATGGAGCTATGGCAGGGGCGGTGGTGCCCCTAGGTGCCCTGGCAAGAGCGGTGGAGCCCCCAGGGGTCCTCTCAGGGGCTTTGATACCCTCAGGGACCGTCCCAGGGACAGCTGCGCCCCCCGGGGGCCCTGTCGGTGGTGACAGGGGTAAGAAGGGCGGGAAAGAGAGGTGTGGTTATGGAGGGCGTGGAGGAGGGCTGTGGGTATGGAGGGCGTGGAGGAGGGGTATGGGTATGGAGGGGTGTGGGTATGCAGGGCGTGGAGGACGGGTGTGGATATGGAGGGCGTGGAGGAGTGGTGTGGGTAAGGAGGGCGTGGGTAAGGAGGGCGTGGGTATGGAGGCCGTGGAGGAGGGGTGTGGGTATGGAGGGAATGGAGGTAGGGTGTGGGTATGAAGGGGTGGAGGTGGGCATGGAAGTGTGGAGGAGGGGTGTGGGTGGAGGACATGGAGGGCCTGGGATGAGGGATGTGGGTATAGATGGCGGGAGGAGGGGTGGGGTATGGGAGGGCAAGGAGGGGGGTATGGAGGGCCTGGATGAGGGATGTGGGTATAGATGGCGTGGAGGAGGGGTGGGGTATGGAGGGCATGGAAAGGGTTGGGTATGGAAGGGGTAGAGGTGGGGTGTGAGTATGGAGGGTGGATGAGGGGTGGGGTATGGAGGGCCTGGATGAGGGACGTGGGTATGGAGGGCATGGAGGAGGGTGTGGGGTATGGAGGACCTGGATGAGGGATGGGTATGGGAAGGGAGGAGGGGGTGTGGGTATGGGAGGTATGGAGGGGTGTGGGGTACGGAGGGCCTGGATGAGGGATGTGGGGTGGGAGGAGGGTGTGGGTATGGGAGGTATGGAGGGGTGGGGTATGGAGGGTAGGAGAGGGGTGGGGTATGGGAGGTATGGAGGGGTGGGGTATGGAGGGGGGGTGGAGGAGGGGTGGGTATGGAGGGTATGGGAGGAGGGTGTGGGGTATGGAGGGTATGGAGGGAGGGTGTGGGTATGGAGGAGGGGTGTGGGTATGGAGGAGGGGGTGGGTATGGAGGAGGGGTGGGTATGGAGGGGTGTGGATATGGAGGGTAT